CACGGCCTCTCCCTGCACCCCGCGCTCAGAGCTCGGCGCTTGCTCCTCGGCCGTTGGGGCCGGACGGGCCGCGTGTCCGAGGCCGCGCCGCCGCGCCCTCCCTCTGCTAAATCCCCAGGAATTCACTCGTCGTGTTGAGAGACGGGCGATGGGGGAAGTGTTCGCGGATGGTGGGCGACTTCACAGTGCGTCTGGGGTGCCCAAGCGCTGCTGGCTTGACCCCAGCGCCACGGCCTGCCGAGAAGTCTCAGCACAATACCTGGGTTTCATCGCATGAAGCGTGTTCCGCGTGTTCTCACATGTATTGGAGAGGAGCAGCCTCTTGCAAGCCACGCGGGCTGTTATTTAATCCACGAGACGTCCTTTGTCCAGGGGAATTTTGTCGGAAACGAGAAGTACCTTGGTGTGACCACCAGGGTTTAGTAGCAGGTGACAGTACCCAGATCCCGGCAGCGAAAGGGAACGTTTGCCTGGCAACGCCCAAACGTTACCCCCCCTCCACCCGGGGACCCTCGGGAGCCACTTTACACGAGCCCAAGCCCATCGCACGCCGACGTGGTGGAGATGCTCCAGAGAGCAGCGCCGCTGGGCCAGCACCTGCCTTTCCCCAGAGGCTCAGCGCCCCACCAGCCCTGTCCGTGCCCCCCCGCGGAAGCCCCTGGGAGCAGCCCCCTGTCAGGAGCCGTTTTGTCCTGCTGAGAAACTCCCAGCTGAGCTTGGCTGTGCTGTGACGACCCCTGTGCTGTGACGACCCCCGTGCTGTGACGACCCCCGTGCTGTGACGACCCCCGTGCTGTCGTGCCGTAACGACCCCGTGCTGCTTCCGCTGCTTTCGCAGGGCTGTTTCTGTGTCGTGTTTTCGGTTGTGAGCCACAATCCTGCCAGCCTGCAGCTGCTTGCCCGCTCCCAAAGCGCTGCAGGGCCGCCCTCAGCGCCTTCCGCGCCGCTTGAAGCGCAGGAGCATGTTCTCGCCTTTGAACCTAACAAACATTTCGTGCCTGAAAGTGCCTGGTTGTGAGTCTCTTGAATCTACTGTCCTCTTCTGTTTGTATTTTTCAGTTTGACTCGCGCTCCGCAGATGTCAGAGGTCACTCGTCTTTGCCCCAGTTCCTCCTCTTCCTCACTGCAGTGCAGATCACAGCAAGGGTCAGCATTTCCCCAGGCGCTGCCGTTGTGGGCAGGGGAGCAGGGGAGCCCTGCGCTCAGCTTGGGTAGCCTGGCAGCGAGGAGAAAGCTCTAAAAATCAGCACAGCGAGGAGCAAACCTCTCGGCCAGCTCAGCGCAGTGGCTGCGAATACTGAGCGGCCAGCGGAGGATAAACTTCTCCTCCTCTTAGGTGGTCTTGGCAGGGAGGGAGGGCAGCCCCTGCCGCCGCTGTCCGTGCCGTACCTGGGTTTGAGGAACGGAAACTTCAGCCCTGCAAGCGCTGGCTCGGCCTCTCCTGCCAGCGCCAAATTCCCACGCACCTCGGTAACCGAAGTGTTGCGTTGGAAAAGCCACGGGAGCTCAGGGCTGAAAGGACTTTGGATGCGTTTTTCCCGTTTTACAGTCATGACAGAACCGAGGAAACTTCCCACTGCAAACCTGCCTGCGCACCAAGAGGCTGATTGAGTCAGGCTTTGCCGTAGTAAAAAACATCCCAGATAGGACCGAGTCCATCTGGGCCGGGAGCCT